GGAGAAAAAGGCTCAATGTTCTATTGTTCTCATCACAACGTGGAATGCGCCAATTCCCACCATGAAAATCCGCCAAATAGAATATTGAACCGGTTTTTTTAATTCAACTCTGTGGAAAATAAGATGCAGCTTGAATCCAAAAACTCAAGCCGTAAATAAGGCCCAATGACAGCTTATACCCGAGTCGTATATTGCCGAATTTTTAAATTGCGGGTTCTGATTTGATTTAATCTTATTTTTTCAATGCTGCTTTTTTCTAATTAGTGGTTAGAGAAGTAGTATAATTTTGTTGAAGAAAAAGTTGAGTCTCAACCACAACTTTTCCTATCCTGATTGTTTAAATCTTTAATATTTTAAACTGAGATTATGTGTTTTAACAGACTTCAAACTTTGAAAAAGCTAATGCCTGCTTAAAGCTGGGTTGCATTGAAATTTGGATTCAACCCACTTTATTCCACTCTACCATATTTTTAGGAGTAAATGATGTGGTTTTTTCTTACGACAAAAATGGGACAAAAATAGCGTACAGATTTTATTTAATGGTATTTTTGTTTGCATGGTTCGATGCAGTTCTCATCATTCGTTAAATTAGTATTCCAATTTTGTCTTGCAAATTGCGATGTTATAATTTGTAAATACTATTTTTAATTTTTTTGATTTATTTTATTTCGATTTTATTACGTTGAAAAAAATCTATAAGAAAAGTATTTTCAATATCGTAATTAAAATCTTAATTTTTTTTCTTCAAAGAACCCACTTTTTCATGAAAATAAAAACACTTTTAGATCTTGCTAATTTTCTTGTTTTTCTTGAAGGATTTCCAAATATGGTTAGTTTTGTTTATCCAAAAACCTTCCCTTGGTCGCAATAATAAAAAATCCACAATTAAAAGAATCAGTTTTCAATATTATAAACAAGGATATCTAATTCATTCTTGATCAGACAAAGTATTTAAGGGTACCGTTGTGAATCGTAGCTACCACGCATATATCAGAGGTTCTCTTGAAATTATTCTAAATTATATTAAAGGGAAAAATAACTCATGTTTCCCGAAAAACTCGTATCTGTAATCAACCGGATTTATCTGAGAATTATCAAGGATTTTGGACTCAATAATGCCAATACTATCATTTATATTCATCGATACTTAGTTAGAGATGGGCATCTACTGTAGAGATGGGCATTTACTGTAGAGATGAGCATCTACTGTAGAGATGAGCATCTACTGTAGAGATAGGCATCTACTGTAGAGCTAAGCATCTACTGAAGAGATAGGCATCTAATGTAGAGCCGAGCATCTACTGTAGAGATGGGCATCTACTGCAGAGATGGGCGTCTACTGAAGAGATGGGCATCAACTGTAGAGATAGGCATCTACTGTAGAGATGAGCATCTACTGTAGAGATGAGCATCTACTGTAGAGATGAGCATCTACTAGAGATGAGCATCTACTGTAGAGATGAGCATCTACTGTAGAGATAGGCATCTACTGTAGAGATGAGCATCTACTGTAGAGCTGAGCATCCACTGTAGAGATAGGCATCTAATGTAGAGCTGAGCATCTACTGTAGAGATGTGCATCTACTGCAGAGATGGGCGTCTACTGAAGAGATGGGCATCAACTGTAGAGATGGTCATGTACTGTAGAGATGGGTATCTACTGTAGAGATGGGCATCTACTGTAGAGATGGGCATCTACTGTAGAGATGGGCATCAACTGTTGAGATGGGCATCTACTGTAGAGATGGGTATCTACTGTAGAGATGGGCATCTACTGTAGAGATGGGCATCTACTGTATAGAGATGGGCATCAACTGCAGAGATGGGCATCTAATATAGAGATGGGTATCTACTGTAGAGATGGGCATCGTTTTCGCAAACTAACAAAATGTTTGAGAACAAACAAAATTATTCGTAAACGATTGTGTCGTTTAGAAAAAAAATTAGCGATAGACAAACGACTTGGATCAGTAAGATAAATTTTTACTGAAAGAACAATTTTATTGAACGAAATATTTACTTAACGATTGCCCGGTGAGAAAACGAGAACAAACGAAATCAATTTTTTCAACGATCTAAAAGAAATCGAAAGAAATGCGAAGTTCATTAATGATGAACGAACGAAATGAAAAAAGCGAACGTCCCTATCTCTAAACACTGACACCTTATTTACTCAGACTCTAAATATTATTTAGAGTATAGGATAAAGAAAACCCTTACTACTGATCGGAACTCTGAATTTATAAATTCTATATTTAGGGTTTAACTGCAGTTCCCGATCTGTCCTATATAAATATAAATAACACCAAAAAGAACTGAATTGATGCACCTAGTTGTCAAGTGGAGTTAAAGTGATCAATAGTTGCGCCATAACTTGGTGTTGAAAATTGAACCAAGTTACAAACGAGTCAAGTTAAAGTCGAGTTTTTGCCTCCAGTTAGTGGACTTCGAAATTTTTTAAAAAGTCGGTATAGCACTCAGTTTTGGCAGAGTTTAACTCCGCTTTGAAACTAGAATAAAACTCTGCTTCTGGATGGTAAAAGTGGAGTTAAACGCGACTTTCACTCGGGGGATCTTCCCCATAGCTCTACTCTTATTGACAATATTTAAGAGAGAATGATATTTAATGATATTGTATACAAGAGTAGTTTACAACTAACTCTCAACTCACATATTTGGAAAAATCTTCAACATTTAACCCTATTTTATCAAAATTAATAAAAAATTTTATTAATTAAATATTTTGAATATTTCAGCGATATAATTACAAAAAATAAGCACCCCAAACTTCATTCTATACAGTTTTTATAAAAACTACAACCCTGACGCAAATAATTTCCTAATTTCAGTCATATTCAAAATCTATCGATAATGGCGTAAAAAAATTATATATATTCTTTTAAATTTAAAGAATCAGCTTTAAATTAAAACATCTTAATATATTTCAGGCGCTTACTATATTGTTTCATGCCTTGTGGCAATCATCAGTCTTTTATATATAGGCCAATAAAAAAGTTGAAAATAGTAAATGCAAAAAAAAAAGATTTTTTAAACACGTGAAAACGGATGTCATTAATGTGATAACCAGGACCCCCTTTTTACCCCTATGGGGATGTGGGGGGGGCTCGAAAGAGGACCTGCCATGGCCAAGTGATATAGGGTTAAAGAACATGACGACTCCTACTTGAAGAATTTAACATTAAAATAAGAGATTTAAAACTAAAATTACTAAGACGGATTAGTAAACCAAATATTAGGTTTAATAATATCAAATCAACATTCTTAAAGGGATTGCGGACAAAATACGTCATATTTTAAATATTTCAAATTTTCATATTCAACATTAAATATTATTATCCATATTCACAGTATATACTAACTGTAGAGCCAGGCGTTGCCCGAGGAATTAACAAAAAAATTGAAACAATGAATTTCCATTTTTGAAAAATACAAATTTTAGAATTTTTTGGTACATGAAACTTATGTAGATTAGGTACTCGAAACTTTTGTAGATTTGGTACATGAAACTTTTGTTGATTTGGTACATGAAACTTTTGTAGATTTGGTACATGAAACTTTTGTAGATTTGGTACATAAAACTTTTGTAGATTTGGTACATGAAACTTTTGTAGATTTGGTACATGAAACTTTTGTAGATTTGGTACAGGAAACTTTTGTAATCTTTTTAAAGAACAAATATTTAATAATTTTATTTCGGATTTTTTTTTACATAATTCATACAGAAAAATAATAATAATATTAATAAAATAATAAATGAATGACAACGTTACTAAAAGTTAAGAAATCGCAAAAAAAGTTTTTTAAAGTCAAGAAATGGCAAAAATAGCTGAATGGGAATAAATAGTAAAAAATATAAAAAATACACTAACAGACAAGGAAGTGACTAAAAGTTGAAAAATGCCAAAGGAATAATAAAAATAACTAAATGCCCAAGAAGTGACTAAAAGTTGATACTTATGATCAAGAAAACGCTAGAAATGTAATTGGAGATACAGTAGTCCCTATACAACTATAAGAATGTAACGACGACTATTTGATTAAATACGATTTTATGTATTCAAATAAACATAGACACAGCAAATATGCAGAACCCATCAGTTCTTTAACGTACATTTACCCTGTAAAAAGGTATTGTTTATACCATTTTGACATTATCCGATACTTTTAAATACGTATAAGCTGCTGGTACAACTAATATGGTGATTTCTAAGCTGCTGGTACAACTAATATGTTGATTTCTAAGCTGCTAGTACAACTAATATGTTGATTTCTAAGCTGCTGGTACAACTAATATGTTGATTTCTAAGCTGCTGGTACAACTAATATGTTGATTTATAAGCTGCTGGTACAACTAATATGTTGATTTCTAAGCTGCTGGTACAACTAATATGCCAATTATGATAACAAGAAAAACAGTTAAAGATCGTTTTATGGGGATCATGTAATTATATGTTAATTACAGTGAGAACCAGAAAACTCTGGAATATGAAGACGAATGTACAGCGGTACATAAGTATATTTGATGTTATTACAAAACAAATAGCTTCACTAGACGCTTATTAAACCACTTATTAAGTGAAATGTGTCTGTTTAAACTGCACAATTGCTGTTTCCCATGCTCATTGGATTGTTTAAAGTTATAAATGGAGTCTTAAAGTCGTCTTCCTATTATCACTGTAAGTGCAACATTTTATAGTTTACAATTGACTAGGTTCGCACGTCTCACTTTAATTTTATAAATTTAATAAATGTATGTTTATTTGGCTTTCAGGAATTTGTGTGCTAAGCTTCTTTAAAAACGACCCGAAATTCAATAGATATGACAATTTTAGGGTTGAAGTGGGTCTACTTCCTTTAAGAAAAAACTCCTTTTTGCAAAGGAAAAACACACATATTACTCAGCTGCCCTGCAAGAGCAGCTTGGAACAATGAATTAATTCCGTACAGTCGTCTCTGAAGTCTCCTCTTTTAAGCATATCTTAATATTTTATATTTTATTGACAAATTTATTTTTTCCCTAGTCCTTCTTAAAACTTTCAGACTAAGTTTTGACTAGAAAGTGAAGATAACATCTTGCATAGCTTTACTCTCTTCTATAAAGCAAGGACGACATCTTGCATCGCAATACGCTCGAAAGCAAAGACGACATCTTGCATTGCTATACTCTAGAAAGCAAAGACGACATTTTGCATCGCTTAACTTTTCTCTAGAAAGTGAAGACGACATCTTGCATCGCTATGCTCTCCTCTAGAAAGCGAAGAGAACATCTTGCATTTATACTCTAGAAAGCAAAGACGACATCTTGCATTGCTTTACCTTCCTCTAGAAAGTGAAGACGACATCTTGCATCGCTTTGCTCTCCTCTAGAAAGCGAAGACGACATCTTGCATCGATATACTCTCCTTAAAAAAGCAAAGACGACATCTTGCATCGCAATACTATAGAAAACAAAGACGACATCTTGCATCGCTTTACTCTCCTCTAGAAAGTGAAGACGACATCTTGCGTCGCTGTACTCTCCTCTAGAAAGTGAAGACGACATCTTGCATCGCTATGCTCTCCTCTATTAAGCGAAGACGACATCTTGCATTGCTATACCCTCCTCTAGAAAGCGAAGACAACATCTTGCATCGCAATACTCTCCTCCAGTTCAACCCCATCATGAACGCTAATCATGCTCCGTAGTGAAGTTATGTAGTCAATTGCTTTTTGTAGAACTTTTACCTATAAACAAAACATAATTAAGAACATATAACACCAAACTTGTGATAATGTTTTTAACAAGTTGACCCAATAATTTCAAAATGTGGTCTGCCTGTTTGTACCTTTAAATTTGTCAATCTTCTAAACAAAAGTTGTTTAAACTGTTTTGAACTAAATTTATCATTTATTAATTATCATTAATATCAAAGACGATTTTGATTATCTTAATTTTTTAACACTCTGTAGATAATTTCTGTCTCAAATAATCTTCCAAAGCTATGGAAAAAATTCTGAAGCTCTTATTCTTGCAAGGAAATTAATCGCAAAACATCTTATAATTGTTATTTTTATTTAAACAATGTTGCTAAGGATTAAACAAAAGGCGACAATAAATCCACAGCTTTCTGGTTAAACTACTGAAGTCTGCAGCATTGGTAGTTTAAATTTTGGAAGTTGCCCAAGGAAGTTACGTGCGCTTGCCGCATTGAGTTACAAGAAAAAGAGATATTAGTATATATTTAGGTGTAGGTCAGGTAAAGACACTTTCTGCAGGCCGAGTGCTGCGGCTAGGACAGGCTAGAGGGCCGAGCGCCGCGGCTAGACCAGGCTCTCTCTCTGTTTTTCAATTCAACGCGGCATGCGCACGTAACTTCCTTGGGCTTCTGCCTTAAATGTTACCTACCTTGCTGACTCTTTTGCCGCGTTTATTCTCTATTGGGACTGCGCGCCGTAATCTCACAAATGCCGAGTTCACTGCTTCCACTCGTCTTCGTTCTCTAAATTTAAAACCGCAATTTAGAAACTTTAATTAGAAAAGGAATGGATATTGTGATTTTAATAGGTGAAGTCAAGGATGTCTGCTAGAGTAGCTAGAGTAGGTATTTTAGGCTGATTTCTTATTCTGCAAGATTAATGGTGAAGAGGAAGAGGAACAACTGGATTTTGTTGGTAAATAGGAACAAAAAAACACATTTCTATGAGTCCTGAGCTGAAAACTTATGAATTGTGGATATTCAGATCAATGCTTGATCTCCTACTTTTGTTAATCTTAGGATTATTTTAATCTTTTGTATTCCGAAAAGTTTCTAAAATTCAACCAATTCGAGTGGCTTATGCAGAATCCCAAACAGTCAATCAGAAGCTGGGAAATTTGAAATTTTGCTCGCCCATTAGTGAGAGAACTGTCATTGGTCGGAATCCAAAAAGAGGGAGAAAAAGCGGATTAAGCAGAAATCAAAAGTGTCCACATTTGTATCTAAAGGATATAAATCCAATTCTAAAGATTTCAGATTTTTTACTTTTACCTAGCATTACGTTTCTCCACCACATGAGGAGGTTTCTCACTATGCGGGATATGTTTATAAATACAATGTTTTCTTCCACGTTTTCTCCGTCCCTTCTTCTCTCCGCTGGAGTATACCACGTGCTCAACCTAACAAGTACAGAGTACACCACGTGTTCAACCTGACAAGTACAGAGTATATCACATGTTCAACCTAACAAGTACAGAGTACAACACGTGTTCAACCTGACAATTACAGTGTACACCACGTGTTCAACCTGACAAGTACAGAGTATACCACATGTTCAACCTAACAAGTACAGAGTACACCACGTGTTCAATCTGACAAGTACAGAGTATACCACATGTTCAACCTAACAAGTACAGATTACACCACGTGTTCAACCTGACAAGTACAGAGTACACCACATGTTCAACCTGACAAGTACAGAGTACACTACGTGTTCAACCTGACAAGTACAGAGTACACCACTTGTTCAAACTGACAAGTACAGAGTACACTACGTGTTCAACCTAACAAGTACAGAGTACACCACGTGTTCAACCTGACAAGTACAGAGTACACCACGTGTTCAACCTGACAAGTACAAGGGGTCCCAATAAACATCAGAATTGGGGGAAATTATCAAAGTTGTCTATGATTTTTAAAATGAAAAGAAAAAAATACTACATTTTGTAAATCCCAGAGTTTTAAGAGAAATAAAGTGTTTATTGGATTTTATGTTTACGAATATATGTGACATGGATCGAATGCTATTTAAAAGCTTCACTTGCTAAGTGTTAATAAATCCTTAGCAAAAATGTAATCAACCATAATTTGAAATATGATAGATGTCCCAGTAGATCAATCTTGAAGAATCCCAATTTTGTTAGAACTTTTAGATGCTAAATCTAATGTGTATAAATAAATTATTGTTTTTATACATATTTAAATGCTACCTCCTCTGGCAGGGGTAAAGAACACCAGTAGATTTCATCCGATTGGTCTTGCTCATATTCATAAGTAAAATGAACAACTTCGCTCAAATTCTATTACATCATTTTCTTAATAAGAAAATATATTTATAAGATGTTATATCCTGGTAAAAGGGGTAAAATAAGATGTTGTTTCCTGATAAAAGGGGTAAAATAAGATGAATATCATGATAAAAGGAGAATAATATGATGAATATCCTGATGAAAGGGGTAAAATAAGATGTTATATCCTGGTAAAAGGGGTAAAATAAGATGTTGTATCCTGATAAAAGGGGTAAATAAGATGTTGTATCCTGATAAAAGGGGTAAAATAAGATGAATATCATGATAAAAGGAGTATAATATGATGAATATCCTGATGAAAGGGGTAAAATAAGATGTTATATCCTTATAAAAGGGGTAAATAAGATGTTGTATCCTGATAAAAGGGGTAAAATAAGATGAATATCATGTTAAAAGGAGTATAATATGATGAATATCCTGATGAAAGGGGTAAAATAAGATGTTATATCCTTATAAAAGGGGTAAATAAGATGTTATATCCTGATAAAAGGGGTAAAATAAGATGTTATATCCTGATAAAAGGGGAATAATATGAATAACCTGATGAAAGGGGTAAAATAAGATATTATATCCTGATGAAAGGGGTAAAATAAGATGAATATCCTGATAAAAGGAGTATAATATGATGAATATCCTGATGAAAGGGGTAAAATACGATGAATATCCTGATAAAAGGGGTAAAATAAGATGAATATCCTGATAAAAGGAGTAAAATAAGATGAATATCCTGATAAAAGGAGTAAAATAAGATGAATATCTTGATGAAAGGGGTAAAATAAGATGAATATCCTGATAAAAGGGGTAAAATAAGATGAACATCATGATAAAAGGGGTAAATTAAGATGTTGTATCCCTGACAGTCAATCATATCAGGAAGAATATGTGTTTGAAACCCAAGATTGTTGTTCATCATATGCTGAGGTTCTCCTACTCCAACCAGTCCTACTCCTACTCCTACTCCAGGGTTGAGTAGACCACCCGGAGAACTAGGGTTTAGATTTAAACCTCCCTCTCCTCCTATACCCAGATCTAGGAGAAAAAACATTTGGATTTTAGAATCAGTTTTATAGATTATTTTATGCTATACAGGGTTACCTACAAAGGTTGAGACTTCAAAGACGACTGTACCAAATGTATTCAATCTTTTTGCCTATATACATAGTTCTTCGCATCTGTCATGGTATTTTTTTCTCAAATTATTTAGTTTACCCTAAGTCCTAGGATTAAATTCATACTTCTGATTGTTATGTTTAAAGACTTTTAGCTCGACATTAAGTCGTCATTAAGTTCTCATTCTTTTTGGATAACTCTGTATGTATTAGTATTAATTGTTACTGTCGAAATGATTTCAAGCTACTTTCAATGAAAAAAGTGATGGAGATATTCTTGTTTTTCTATCTGAAAGTTGTTCATCTTCAGTTATAATTTTTCTATTAAAATGACTCACAGATTAGTGCAAATTGGTGGAATTTTTCAGCGCAGCCTGGATCTATGTGAGACACGAAAGGAAATGTTTGAATCGAAACCTCTTGAATTTATGTCGAAAGTCCTTTTGAGTAATGCTCTAAAATCGAAATCGTTTGCGGCATTCATTCAGAATTTTGTAAAGATTTGAAGTTATTAAATAACCCCAAAATTGTCTAATTATGAAAGGAAAAAAAGGCACAACACATTTGGGAAGTGATCCAGGACATAGAGTTATTGTCTATGATTGTTTCATGAAAATTATTTCTAAAATGAGGTTGAAAAATATCACATGCATGATAAAAAAAATTCTGATAAATAATATATCCTACCCTGTATAATGGATTCCACCATTTTTACAAGTTTTTCTTCTCTTTGTTTACTTTCTACTTTTTAATCACATATACACTAGAAAGTTTATCTAAAAGTTTGTAAATATATCAGTATTAGACAGCATTCTATAGTGCTGGACCAACACAAGTGGAAATAACAAAGAAAACTGAATTCTCGTTTCAAACTCTAATTCTATATCTTTGCAACTAGAGTACCTAGAGTTGACTGATTAGAGTGCCTAGAGTTGACTGATTAGAGTACCTAGAGTTGACTGATTAGAGTATACCTAGAGTTGACTGATTAGAGTACCTAGAGTTGACTGATTAGAGCACCTAGAGTTCACTGATTAGAGTATACCTAGAGTTGACTGATTAGAGTATACCTAGAGTTGACTGATTAGGGTACCTAGAGCTAACTGATTAGAGTATCTAGAGTTGACTGATGAAAATATAAAAATCTAGTTCATGTAAACCCGCATACTGATCCACCTGCCCTTAGGACCAGGGGTACTAATTAACAGGATTGGTTGTCTTTTATTTCGAGATTTTATTTTAACTTTTCAAACTTTTTATATTTAATATTTAAAGAGATGAGTCAGTTTTTTTCTCTCAGCTCAGCAAAATTGTCTTTCTTATTTAGCTTATCAGAAATCTATAATTAATTGTAAAAAATCTTGTTTTAATATATACATATATATGTATATATTAAAACATATATATGTATATATATTTACATATCACACATACACACATACACATATACATATGTATTACTTATACATATACATATATACATGATAAATGTCAAACGTGAATCATCGTGTCCAGGGTTAACCTATCTTTATAAACAATAGATGTTCTCAATATATTTAAATAAGATTTATACTTTTAGGTTATTTGTATTTTGTATATTAAAAATCTCTTCGCTAATATATATATATATATGTTAGCTATATCTGGCCAAACTGCTGGACAAAATTGGCTGAAATTGTTTTAGGAAACCCCTGGGTACCCTGGGAGGTAACATAGCCTAAAAACTTTCATTGTTTTCTCTTCAAAATTCTAATATTTTAAAGTGCTCATATATATCTACACATAAATTTGGCTTGTCTGGGTGTCTGTTTGTTTGTTTGTATCCAATAAACGTCAAAACGGCTGAACCGATCGGGCCCAAATTTTATGTGGGACATCACGTGACCACAGGGAAGGTAAGAGAGAGAGAGAGAGAGAGAGAGAGAGAGATATCACAACAGGAAATCGAAAGATTTTATCTTAAAACTCGATCATTAGTAATTGATTGAACTGCATGCGCGTGGGGGAAAAGGGGGGGAAGTGAGGACTTTTTCAGGGTAAAGGGGGGATTTTTTAGAGGCAAAGGGGGAATTTTTTTCATAAAAAGTAAATGTTTAGTTCAGGAGGAATAACTTGGATAATGTTAAGTACAATGACCCCGTTTTAATAAGACAACCCCCCTCCCCCGATAATACACTACCCCACTTAATTTGCAATACATATATATTTGGAGAATGTCACGCCATGCTTCCAGCTACAGTTTAAAAGGAGTAATTGGAAAAATTCTTCTCGATTTTTGCGTCACAGTTTACACATCTTGATTGATTTACGCCCCCCCCCCCCCATCTCCCAAATTTAGGACTTGAACACGTCGCTACTCCCATGGTTAATCTTGTAACATTAAGCCGACCTTGAGGATAGGCCTACATCAACACTGCATACAGGGGGAACCAAAAAAAATCACGATGACAGTATTTTGTACAGGGTGTGTCAGAAACTTTTACGTATACATAGGGTTTATATGTGAACGAGCTTGGGATATATATTAGAGGTGAATTTACTAGAAAAAAAGTGTAAAACGGCCATTTTGTTGTACTGTTTCCATACTGCAGGTGTATTTCACATATTTGCGCTATATAACCTTTTGGGCCCTGGAATATCATTTTATAGGAAATCTAAAATTAATATTAAAAGAAAACCAAATTATAAAATAGGCTGGTTGCACAGGATACCCATAGTTACTCCCGCTGCTTACCCGCACTTTGACGATTTTTTACTGGGAAATTAAATTTTTAAATTTTTAAATTTTCGCTACAAAAGTCGACCCACCAAGGAATAAGAAATAGAAGGGAGATTCAACTGACGCGGCCCGCCCTACCATATGATTATGAAATATACATGCTTTGCAGACGGTACTCCATTTGTATAAGAAATATTCAGAATAGGTTATTGTATACGCAGTAATTGTACAGCAGACAAAAAAAGTTCTTATACAAGTAGAGAACCCGTCTGTAAAGCATGAATAATCATATGGTAGGGCGGGCCGCGTCAGTTGTTTCTCCCTTCTATTTCATACTCCTTGCGACCCAGTGACTTAGAATCTCAAAACCAAGCTAAGAACATTCCAGTAGCTCTCCCGAGTTCTCCAATCAAAATTTGCAGGGGTTCCTGAGTTATGATCGGACAAACAAACAGACAGACAGACAGATAGACGTACCACATAGATTCAGCCTACTTATAAACAGTCTCATCAATTTTTACGATAGGGTCGACTTTGAAGTGTTGCAACGCCTTGGACTTTTTTTACCGCTCTACCTCACTTTTGCTTTTCTGTAGCTCTTTACGTGTAGAGTTTAGCACTATAAGCACTTGTTGTTATAAAGCTTTAGTTTCGCAATGCCTTGAACTTAGATTTTACCGCTCTAAAACTCACAAATGCTTTTCTGTAGCCCTTTACATGTACATTTTAGCACTGTAAAGCACTTGTTGTTAGCTTTTCTTTTTAAGAAATAATTGGCAAAACTCTCATCGATATTTGCTTGAGAACGTGAGACCTTTTAAATCACAGTGAGACAGAGATTACAACTTTATATATATAGATACTATAAATACATTTTAACCTACATCACTGTGAGCTAAGATATGCACATCAAAAATCAAGATTTTACAATATGTAGAGATATTACAATTATTTCTTAGCTAGAAAACGAGGATATAACTCATGCTTTCCACTCTGTAAAAGGTCACTTGAAATAAAGTTGCTGTCCATTAAAAACGAACAAAAGAGAATAGGAAGCAATTCACAGTGATCAAGGAGGCTGCAAGCTCTCACTCAATTATCAATGAGAATTTTCCCAACTACTTCTTAAAAACTAAAGTGCATTCAAGTTTAAATGGTACATGTCTAAGGTTACAAAAAAGTATTGTAAATCATTGAGGTAAAATCAAAGGCCAAGGCGTGGCAACACTTTAAAGTCGATCAAGTCCCGAAAATTTATCCAACTTTTCCTTGCAGTCTGGAACCATGTGGATACTTGCCTCAAACTCGAAAGATAAAGTTGAAATATAAAAGATTTACCATTTAAAGATATTGGAGAGAGAAATTGGAGTTGTTGGGAAGTAATCAGTTCTTTGAATTATTAAAATAATTTGAATTTGTTTAAAAGGAACTTTAGAATTCCAAGTGCGTTCAAGTGAACATCGATTTATACTGTGGAATTTACCCCTACAACCTTTGTATGATAAAAAATCATATTTTCATTAACAATTGATTTTTTCTTTTGCGGTTTCTCTGGACTGAAGAACCTCTGGAGGAAATGTCAGAATTTATTTTTAAAATAATAACCAAATTATTGTGAATCCGACATTGCCTTTTGTTGGAGGTTTGATTTAATTTACGACAGTCCGTCCAATTCTTCCCACATTGATTCAAAGATTGCAAGTTCTCTCGCAGAAATCGATGAGAATTTTGCCAATTACGCCTTGAAAACTAAAAACAAGTGCTTAATAGCTCTAAAATGTTCCTTCTTTCTAGCAAGGGCGGTTTCAGGATTTAAGAAGGGGGGGGGGGATAAAAATATATGGATTGAATTTTATACATTGACATTTCGATTATATTTTATACATATCATATCATGAAGTGAGAATTATTTTTTATTTCCTGCTATTATTATTTCTTTAGAAAATAATGGTTTCTAAATCATGCTAATTTTTCTTGCAGGACACTGCAAGTACTTTCTATGTTTATTTTTAGAGTTACAAATAAAAGTCTATCAGAAGAAGGCTAAAAGTAAATAAAGGAATTTTGTTCAAAATTTAAAAAAACTAAATGTATTCTCCCTTCCTCCAATTTACGATAATTTAGTTTTCTTCGGCTGCTTGAAATAAACGTGTGTTTAAAGATCTGATCCTACTCAGATCCCTTTTACCCGCCTACACATCAAATATATCAAGGTTAAACAATATCTGAATATTTCTTGTAAAAACTGTTTAAAGAATTTCAAGTGGCCCAACATTTATAGAATAGCACAATTGCAAGGAAACCCTTAAACCTATTTTGTAATGAAAAATGAATGAGAAATCCATCGATCTGTCAATTGTGGTTTCTCTTCAACAAATTGATTGCGGATCTATGCTTTAAAGACATGATAGGAAATTGTTAGAACTTAACACGTCTCAAGATTGAAAAACGACAAAATCTTCCACGCTTTACATTAATGATGGGTCACTTAAAGCTACGTCTTTAAGGTCCCTAGAAGCAGATAGGAAAGTTGAAGTGGCAGTTGGAGTTTTGGCGGCAGGACGATTTCTAGAAAAAAAAAAACTGAAAACTAAGTCTAGAGAGACAAACTCAGGAAAGAGAAACCTTAGAGATAAATATCATAGATAAATACCAGAGAAATAAACTCCAGAGAGATAAACTCCAGAGAGTCAAACTCAGGATAGAGAAACTTTAGAGATAAATATCATAAATAAACCTCCAGAGAGATAAACGCCAGAGAGATAAACTCCAGAGAGATAAACTCCAAAGAGAAAAACTCCAAAGAGATCAACTCCAGAGAGATCAACTCCAGAGAGATAAACTCCAAAGAGATAAACTCCAGAGAGATCAACTCCGGAGAGATAAACTAAAGATATAAACTTCAGAGAGATCAACTCCAAAGAGATCAACTCCGGAGAGATAAACTCCAAAGAGATAAACTCCTAAGATATAAACTCCAGAGAGATCAACTCCGGAGAGATAAACTCCAGAGAGATAAACTCCAGAGAGATAAACTCCAGAAAAATAAACTTAAGATAGATAAACTCCAGTGAGACAAACTCTAGAGAAATAAACTCCAGAGAGATAAACTCCAAAGATATAAACCCCGAAGAGATAAACTCCTGAGAGATTAACTCTAGGGAGATAAACTCCAGAAAAGTCAACTCCAGAAAGATCAACCCCAGAAAGATCAATTCCAGAAAGATCAATTCCAGTGCAAAAAAGGTGAAAAAACTTTATAAGGAAAAATGGTAAGAGATATATTATATATAGATAAATAAATACATTACTTCCTCATATGTATTATTTACTTCTCTCTTGTTTTGCTAGGGATACACCTTTTTTCTTGTTTCTTCAGTTTATCTGTCTATCCGTCTATCTGTGTATCTGTCTATCTGTCTATCCGTCTATCTTTCTATCTGTCTATCTGTCTATCTGTCTATCTGTCTATCTGTCTATCTGTCTATCTGTCTATCTGTCTATCTGTCTATCTGTCTATATCTGTCTATCTGTCTATCTGCCTATCTGTCTATCTGTATATCTGTCTATCTGTATATCTGTCTATCTATCTATTTGTCCATCTGTCCATCTGTCCATCTTTTTTAAGTATCTTCATTTTACATTAATTATATCTAATTCTCAAAAAATGTCGAAAAGAAAAAGCTCCGAATTAGAGAACTAAATATATAAAAATGATTTATCTCATCCCACACATCTTGGAATTCCCGCTAACTGCGTATAGAAGTTTGTAGCGGATACTACACACTATGCTGCTGCCGCTTCTCAGTTGTGTTTTGGTCAGCCAGTCGTTGACACCTCCGGACGAGTAAATCTACAATGGTTACATCTTATTGCCGGCTTCTTAGGCAACACAAACTTATTTTCGTCATAAAACAAAATAGAATTGGTTTATAGTGCAAATTGGGGAAGGAAGTTGATGTCTTTTATAGTTTAAAACATTAAAAGATGTTTATTTGGTTTTGAAACTTTTTTCTACGTGTTATGCATAATGAACCATCAAGTGAATATATCTAACTCATGGTTTTGTTACATATCCTGGTTCAATTTAAACCACTAAATTATGCAATTGGACTATGAACCGGTTAATATATTTTAGCCATCTTTACACGGATTGTCGTTGAGATTTTAAGTGACCCTCCATTCTCATTCCTTATAGATTTTATCTGACCGATAATATGGAAGCTAGCTTAAAAAGTATCTAATTCCGACAATTCCGACACTGTTTCAGTACTAGAATTGCGCAAATCACTTTTATGTGGAAACTACTATTAAACATTCAGTTTTTTAAAAGAGAAAAACATTGATTTCAGACAAAGTATTCAGTTATACTGTTGCAAGTGGGACTTGAAATTATGTAAACACTCTATACATCACTTTTTTAAGTGATAAATTCTTCCTAATCTTACCCTCTCACTTTCCTTTATGAAATTTCAGAAATAAAAAAAAATATAATTCTTTTGCAGTATGTCAAAATTTATTGTCCGATGTTGAATGAATGAAATTGTGTTTGCTTGTTCTAAGCCTTTTTTCCAAAGGTTTGCCCTCTCTCTTTCTATCTATCTATATATGTATATATATATATATATATATATATATGTATATATATATATATACTTTGCTTGTCTGTCTGAGTGTCTGTTTGTATGTATCCCGGACACGTCAAAACGGCTGAACCGATCACTTCAGCCGTTGAGGGACCTCGTGTGACTCCAGGGAAGGTTTATGGATGATCGAATTTTCAAAATTTGTGTTTCCCGCCCTCTCAAACATAAAAACAAAAAGAAAACAACCCCTACTTTAAATTATTTATTCCGATTCATTTTATTTTTTACCTTTTTAAAAATCCTTGTTTTAAATATTAGATTATGTTTACTACAGTATCGATTCTGACCAAAAACAGTGTTCTTTATTTCTTCTGAAAAAGGTTTTAAATCAAATCAAATCAAATCAAATCATTTATTAGGCCACAAGTTAACAATATTCATATTAATAAAAATGACTATACAATTACATATATATATTTTGTGGCCGGGGAGCTACAAGATAGCTCAGGCTGTTTTCACACGAGCTCCCCTGGTTCAGAAAAATAATGATTAGATTCAAACATTGTGCAATGTGCCTTTATGGAGCACAAAAATGGCGAAGAGTAGCGGCGGTGGCGGTTGGAGAACAGGAGGCGGAAACATGGCGTCAATCTTTACAGTCACAAATACAAAAAGTTTTAGGCTCAATAATGTAGAAGATTGTTCTTGATCAAGAAATATTATTACTACATGTTATTCTAATCAAGATAAGAGATCAAGAATAAGCTGAATATTTCTTCTGACAAGGATACATATATATGATATTCATTATATGTATCAAGTATTAAAAAATATGAACAGATCATATTGCAGTCCATGAAAACCCCAATTTAATCTAAGAAACTAGAGTTGAACAGGTATAGCAAAATAGCCGATTGCATTCAAAGTTCGATAATCTATCCAGAAAATGTTGCTTTTTGCTAGCAATACAAGACAAATCTGGGTCAAGTTCATTCCAACAGGAAGTGAAAGAATACAAGGGAAATCTATTTATAAATAAATTTTTACATCTAGGAACAAAAAATTGATCTCGATTTCTTAAGGGGTATTGGTGCATCTCAATATCTGAATTCCTGGGGAACACTGGATCCATATAGAAAGAAGGAGGGGCAAAAGAGCTAAAATGTTTTACAAGATCTGCATTTTAAAACTTTTTCTTTAATGTATATTTATTTCAGATAAAATGAGGAGCTTGGTGGTAGGTTTTTCTATTAAAAATATTAAAAATCTGATTTTTTTATCCCAATAAACATAGGAATTAAATGACAAGTTATATAATGTTATTGTTCTGTGCGGGATTTTTTGATCCCAATAAACATAGGAATTAAATAACTTATATAATGTTATTGTTCTGTGCAAGATTTTTTGATCCCAATAAACATAGGAATTAGATAACTTATATAATGTTATTGTTCTGTGCGGGATTTTTTCGTTAACACAATATTGTAATATCACAGTTAAAACATTTAACACAGAAAACTACTAGTCTCAGGATTTCCAAAATGTGGTCTACCATTTTTTACGTTCCAAAATTGACACAGACATTAGGAAATTTGCCTAAAACAGTTCAAATATTTAATTTCTACGTCAATTTTAAAGATACAACTTTGGAAAGCTCTTTAGACTTTCAGTTTTTTTGATGTACTGTATGTCATTTATCAATTAACGGAAATCAAAGACAATATTCAAGTAGTCTCTCAATTCCCATGTTTATTGGGGCACCCTGTACCTAACAACCGTCAAACTGACTGAAGGTTGGCCGATCAGAATTTGAAGTGTCATTGCATCAAAAAAGATTTAATTTTGAAAATTCAATGAAAATGGAAGATTTTTTTATTGTTATTATTTAGAAGAAAGAAAAAATGAACAAACTAAATATTATTGCTGTACAAAATGTGGGTGGTGCAAGGCATCCTGTAAGCCTAGTATACTAAAAACCATGTACTGCCCAATCTAAGTTTTGATAATTAAACCATGTCTTGTCGTGGGTTGGACAGAAGGTTGGGTTTAGTATCCAGGGTTGCTTGCGTAGGAGTACAGGAAGCTAAAAATCCTGCTCAGTGTTATCTGTAGTATACTGAGTGTCCAAAAAAAATACCCTCTTTGCCTGAGCCTCTTAGCTTCTTGTATCTTATTAATAAAAGGATAATCACAAAAAAAAAAAGCAATTTAGGCCATAGAATATATCCACTTAAAATAGAATCTTTTTTTAAAAAAAGATTCTTATTTCTGACAAAAATATTTAATATTTATTATCATTATTGAAGCTAAAAGGTCAAATATTTAAACTTTGTGATTTACAAAAGCACAAGATGATACAGAACCCATGGTATGACGTAATACAAGAAAGGGCGGGAAATGCAATAATGGTTTAAAAATTGCAAATTTATTTTATTCCGTGTACATACAAAATATGATCTAATCACCACAAAACATATTATGCTATTCATATAACTTTTTAAAAGAAAAAAACGGATTTTAATTTTGTCATGGTTACTTTCTAACACGCTTCGAGTCCCAACAGCATTATTATTGAACTTGATCTCGATGTTATGAAATTTTGTGATACCTATTGTTATGACCGAAATATTTTTAATAGTTTTGGTGCTAATTAAAAAATAATTATAAAATACTTAGCGACATTTCTCGACACTCTTCCACTATTTTCTTGTTACCACTGTATTTGTTGTAGTTGCTGTTTTTACCGTCCTTGGCGCTAGCTGCTCCGAAACCAGATTCTAGTAGTAGTTACGGAGCTCCCCATGCGCCAGTGTACGATAGTTACAGTGCACCCCCCGCCCCAACCTACGCTAAACAGCAGTACTACCCACCTCAACAGCAGTACGTTAACCCGCCAGATTCTCATGTACATCATCATTATTATCACCAGGAACCGTACACTTATTCATAATGCAAAATTTTATAAAAATGGTTTGAAAAAGTTTTATTAAATAGATCAACGCCTAATTGATGTCGCCTCTCAATGTTTCGTTGGATACCAGAGTCGTACTCAAAGTTGGAGACATTTATGTGAACTTTTTATAATTAAAATTGCAACAAAAAAAAACTATTTTTCTAAGCTTGGTAAAAAATTGGAACATAAAAAAAACTATATATATCCCTAAAAAGCATCTTTTAATTTTTATGTTTGAAGACCCCAAAATATATAATTTGAAAGAATTTATAAGAAATAAAATCTTGAAAAGGACATGCACACAAGAATCGTTTTAGTTTAAACATAAGTAAGTTTTTTTTTAAATTGTAAAAAAAAATTGAAAAAAAAAATAATTGTCTGGTTGTTTTAAAGGCTCAGCCCGTTGTTCAGGTTCCAATCACTCCTCAGCCATATGTTGTTCAGGTGAATCAAATAAAAAAAATTTTAAAAAATATTAAAAGAGGGATAATTTTTTAAAGTATTTTTTAATGTAGAATGAAGCCAAAATTATTTCCCAGTTGCTCATATTTGTAACAAAATGACAAAAGTGTAAATTTAAGTAAATCAACACAAGTAAGAAATTCCTCCAAATTGGAGAGAAGTTTCAAACTAAAATTTAAAAATTAAAATAAAGAATTCTCTGCTCTGAGAGCTCGAAGCATTAGAAATTTTATTATATCATAATTAATAATTTCTATTCCTTTACTTTCATAATGTTTGATATTTAACATTTTTTACGCGTTATTTTCACATTTTTTTCTTCACGAAATTTTCGTAATTTTCCCCCGAAATTTTTGCAAAAATTTCTAATTTTTTCGCGAAAAGATTACAACGAAATTGCGAGTGAATTAAATGCGAAAAAATGCGATTTCCCCTTTTCGCTGGAAACCCTATTTACAGGCTTGTTTTTACTATGATCGGAAAAACTTAAAAGAGATGTTAACTAAAAGATCAATAAAAACGAGTCGAATCGACTTTATTTTTTTCGGCCCGATAGCATAGCAGTGATGATATATCATATTTGTTCGCAGAAAAAAAAATTATTAAAAGGAGAGAAACAGTTAATATCCTTCCGGATTTAATGAATTGCAAGGAATCGTTGAGCAGCTACCGCCGCGCCGATTCAAAGTTAAAGTTGCATTCAGATTCAGATAATAAATTAAAGAGTGAATCGGGGATTCTGGATTTGAACCGATGGTAGGCAGTTCAACTACCTCTCCGATTAATTAAATTTGGTCCGATGTTCCTTAAATTCTATTATTTTCGTTGATCAGGTTCCTCAAAACGTTCCAGTTCAGTTTGTTCCCATCAATGTAGATGTTCCACCACCACAGTATCAAACTGTTCCTGTACACCTAGCTCCTCAACAGGGATATGTACTTCCAGGTATACTCATTTATTCATTCACACATTAATTTATCCTTTCAAACATAGTCATAGATTCATTTATTTATTCATAGATTCATTTATTTATTCATAGATTCATTTATTTATTCTTGGATTCATTTATTTATTCAGTTAATTTAATCTCACGTATTCATTATTTTCATGGTTTATTCCAAGGTTTATTTATTTACATTTATTTATTGTGACGTATCAAAAACCGCTCAAGAACTGGTTTAAGGAGAATAGTCAAAAGAGCTGAAATCTATTGAATTGGATACCTTTAATCCCGAGCGCTTAATCTGAATATCTAATGTGAACACTTTTAATTTCGATCCTCCTTAATCCACTTTTGATTGGACAAAGAATGTAAAATTTTCTATTTCCAGAAGAAATAATGATTGTTTGATAATTTGAAAGTACGACGACATTTGCGAAAAAAAACATTTTTGCGTTCTTTCCCTTCAAAAATACATTTTATAAATAAATGCGCATTAATCATGTAAACTAATAAATTGAAATGATTTAAAATTGTTTGCGATGTCTAAAATTGTGTCTAAATGACTAAAACACTTAAAGGGTAGGCTCAGTCTCCACGGAGGGTAGGCTTCCCACGCATGACACCGGCCTTCCTTTCGGAACTTTCTTTTGATAAAACTTGTTCCTCTGCAGTCTTCATATACGTCACAGTCAAATGCTTTCAAAAACAGTGGTCGGCATTTTTTTCATTACAATGAAGACGACTTTTCTAATTAAAGTTTTGATTGCTAACAAGCTTCTTACAAATTACAAGTTTTCAAATAAAGAAAGAGAAGATACAAGTAAAGAAGAGAAGCCATGATTTTGTGTATCCATGCTGTTTAAATCTTGGTAGAAATTAAAATTGAAGTAGAAAGTCGTCTTTATTGTATTTATATACGTCAACGACTGTACCATATCTCCTCTACCTTTGGTAAACATACATTCCTTTATAAAAAGCTGTTTTGGGGGGGAATTCAAAAATGTTCTTTGAATCCATATTAAAAACAGCTCTTTACAAAGGAATGTTAGAACCAATGGAAATGGAAATTCCAGAGGGATTCAAAGATAAACCCGAGGGCGTAGTCCAAGGGTTCTTTTTTATTTACAAACTATCAGCTCCAGTAAAAAAAAGGGTTTGAAGAAACGTTGATACAAGAATATTAATAATTGCATATTTTATCCTAAGAAAATGTTTATCATTTTGTAAACCCATATGATTTTTACACTACATATTATTAAAAGCTCTTTTTTTCCAACTAAAAAATTACATTTTCTTCTTTCAGTATTATTAGCTCTCTTCATAGTTCTATCTTTTTCCTTTTCTATGTAATTAACTTTTTTACTTCTCCCCACTAACCATTTTTTTATTATTTTTTAGTATTTCTCTTAAATCTTTTTGTAAGCATGATTTTATATGGGATTAAGCCTTTTTTTGTCAATCATCCTTAATCATAGGGTCTATATTGAAAATTGAATTAAGGATAATTGTTTATGTAATTAGAGAAAATTGTTCTTATTTTTTTTACATTATTCAAATTCAAGTATTCGAAAAGATCAATCCAATTTTTTTTTTAATTCATAATCTGTAAAATTCTCAAATAATGTTTAGCAAAGTCTTCGAAATGTTTTAGAGTTTTATTTCAAATGTACAAAAAGAAAGGCTTGCATGGACAGATTAGAAAGTAAAAGGCGAAGATTATTGATAAAAAGAATGTCTAAAGAATTGAAACTATTTCAAAAGACAAATAATGATCAATTTCGAGATCCGAACTTCCAAATTCTGAGTCTAGAAAGACGACATTTGAACTTTATTAATTAGATTGATATTTATAAGCTAATTATTTTTTATGTGTTTTTGATGTTTTTATCGAGGGAAATATGTGCTGTGTAGTGTGTACACAGCACAGTGTACAACTGCTGTCGTCTTAATATTTCACAGTTTTAAGGGCTCCGCTGTATGATACAACATAAAAGTTTAAGAATCAAAAGATGGATTTAATTTGGAGAATCGAATTAAACATTGTAATTGCTTCGTAAACTATCAATGCAGGTGCATAAATCAATGCTCAGTGATGCATGAACAAACGAAAATTCAGAAGTGCACAAAATGCATCTTCAAATTAAAACTTAACTTAATATTGTGAAAAGATATAGTGTGCTTCTTTTTAAACGTACAGAGCGCCCCATATCATATTAGATTATCTCCAAACCTAACGCTAAAAATGATGCAAATTACTCCGTAGAATTTTATTAGCAATATACAATTTTTATAAATGATTCAATCTTTTAAAGTATACTGTCCTGAAATCCGAATGTAGAGCTATTTAAAATCCAATATGATTTCAGACACCGCCCCGTACCAAATCATATTTCATCTTGTACCAATGTACATATAATGATTCGATAATTCTTGTACATATCCTATATTCCTTGTACATATCCTATATTCCTTGTAAATATCCTATATTCCTTGTACATATCCTATATTCCTTGTACATATCCTATATTCCTTGTATATGTCCTATATTCCTTGTACGTATCCTATATTCCTTGTACATATCTTATATTCCCTGTACATATCCTATATTCCTTGTACGTATCCTATATACCTTGTACGTAACCTATATTCCTTGTATATATCCTACAGGGTGTCCCAAAAAACATGGGAATTCAGTGACGAATTCGATATCGTCTTTGTTATGAATTAGCATTGTAATACCTAATTTCAAAAGCCATAATATTATTATGTCTGCTAGAGTTTATTTAATGAAAAGGGTAAAAGACTGAAAAGATGTGTCTATAATGTCTCCGCAAGATGAACAGTGAATATGGACAAGTTTCTGTAATTTTCTTGTTTTACTAAGTACAACCGGTTGCAGTCAAAACATAAACAAACAAAATGTAAACATAGCAGACGAAACTCTTACAGATTACAGCTTTCTCAGTAGGTATCACTATACTAAATCAAAGAATTATTCATAAAGGCGATATCGAATTCGTCACTGAATTCCCATGTTGTTTGGGACACCCTGTATATTCCTTGTACATATCCTATATTCCTTGTACATATCCCCCGTCCTTCCTATCCTCGTGTCCTAGACCGATCTGAATGCTACGACTATGATTTGGAATGTTTGGGAAACATTGGCAGAGATTTTGGTCTTCCCATTCCTCATCCTTATCAAGGTCCTGTAGCAGCCCCGTACCAGTATCCAGGTCCTTCTCCTTATGCAGGTTCTCCTTTCGGAGGAGGAGGATTAGGTAAATATGAAACCTTATCCGACCATCCCAGCTTGCCAGCCACTCTATTTTACCTCCTCCTCTTTACCAGGGCTCATGCCCACCCATTCTACCCCTTTTTACCTCTATAATTACCTCATGCCCACCCATTCTACCCCTATTTACCTATATAATTACATCATGTCCATCTCATCTACCCTATTTACCTCTATAATTACATCATTGTCCTCCCCATCTACCCCTATTACCTCTATACCTACCCCATCTATGTACCTCTATACTTTCCTCATCCACTCCTATTTACCTCTTTACTCACCTTATATACTTTTTTATCTCCTGTAGCAGCCCCATACCAGTATCCAGGTCCTTCTCCTTATGCAGGTTCTCCTTTCAGAGGAGGATTAGGTTCTCTTTTTGGAGGAGGATTAGGTAAATATAAAACCTCATCCGACCCTACCAGCTTAGCCACCCCTGTTTACCTCATCCCTATCCCATCTACCTTTATTTACCTCTATACGTACCTTATCTACCACTTCCTACCACATCCCTATCCCATCTACCTCTATTTACCCCTATAAGTACCTTATCTAAAACTTTCCACCACAATCCTACCCCATCTACCACCCGATTTACCTCCCAATACCATGTAACTATCCAATCCTACTCCCCACAACCCTATAACTATCTAATCCTACTCCCCACTACCCTGTAAATATCTACTCCTACTCCCCACTACCCTATAATATCCTAGACTGAAGACGATACATGGATAATTTGACTTTAAAACACCTTCAGACTTCGATGGTGTTTAGTTTATACAAACGATAATTAAAGTCGTATAAATCTAACAACACACATGACTGTTACTAACACGACTGGGCTCATAACGTATGATTCGTTGTGATTAAAGGGATCGTTGACGTAATTTAAAAAAGAGAAGCTTGTCCGATTCACAAGGGTACTCTTTAAACCTTTGCCTGAGCAAAAATGGAGAAAATATCTTTGTTTTTTTATCAATTAAAAATTGATAATTTTTAGTCGTGGTTTCTCGATGAAGGTTACTGATTTTGCAACAAAGACAAATAACGAAATTTGCATAATGTTCCAAGGTCGAAGAATGACATTATCTTTCCCAATGTTACTCAGATAAACATTTAAAAAGAGTTCCGTTTTGAATTGAGCTTGCCAATCTTTAAATGAAGGTTCACTCTTGAAGTTACGTCACAGTCTCTGTAATTCATCAAAAAAGAAAACATTGATGAAATTGGTAAAAATTTCGTTAAATATTTTTGTGTTTTTTTATTGTAAGAATAATTTCGAACCAAATAAAAGAACAAAAAAGTCTTTAAATCAATACAAAAATTTTCCCTTTTTGGGGTCATATTCCGACTGTATTTCAGGAGGTTTTTGGGATCATATTCCGACTGTATTTCAGGAGGTTTTTGGGATCATATTCCGACTGTATTTCAGGAGGTTTTTGGGGTCATATTCCGACTGTATTTCAGGAGGTTTTTGGGGTCATATTCCGATTTTATTTTAGGAGGTTTTGGAGGTGGTTTTGATGATCCTTACATCAAAAGAAAAGAATTGATCAAGAGCGGTCTTCTTCTTGGAGCTGGAGTAATCAAGGGAGCTCTTGTTACAACATTGATCAATCAGGTATCTTTCCCTTTCCCCTGATATAGGTACCTTTCCCTGTCAGATATAGGTACCTTTCTCTGTCAGATATGGTTAACTTTCCCTTTTCCCCTGATAAAGATACCTTTCTCAGTCTGATATAGGTACCTTTCCCAGTCTGATATAGGTACCTTTCTCAGTCTGATGTGGTTTCCTTTCTCAGTCTGATATAGGGACATTTTCCTGTTTGATATAGGTACTTTACCCAGTCCAAATAGGTTGTCAACCTATTTGACCCAGTCTGATATAGATACTTTTCCTAGTTTGATATAGGTCCCTTTCCCAGTCTAATATAGGTATATTTTCTTGTCTGATATAGGTATCTTTCCCAGTCTTATATAGGTACCTTTCCCAGTCTATTAAAGTTACCTTTCTCATTCTGATATAACCATATGTACCTTGCTTTGTCTGATATAGGGATATTTTCCTGTCTGATATGAGTATTTTACCCAGTTTGATATATGTATCTTTCCTGGTCTGACATAGGTACCTTTTCCAGTCTGATATTATAGGTACTTTTCCCTGTCTGATATATGTACCTTTCCCGTCAGATAAAGATACCTTTCCCAGTCAGATAAAGATACCTTTTCTCAATCTGAAATAGGTTCCTTACTTTATCTCATATTGGTACTTTCCAAGTCTGATATGGATACCTTTCCCAGTCTGGTATAGGTACCTTACTTTATCTGATATTGGTACCTTTCCCAGTCGATATAGGTTCTTTTTCCTGTCTGATACAGGTACTTTCCGTGTCAGATATAGGTACCTTTCCCTGTCTGATATAGATACTTTTCACAGTCTAATAAAGGTACCTTTCTCATTCTGATATAGCTACCTTTTTCTGTCTGATATTGGTACCTTTCTCAGTCTAATAAAGGTACTTTTCCCAGTCTGATATAGGTACATTTCCCTATCTGATATAGGTACTTTTTTCTGTCTGATATATAAAATGTCCCGCTAAACATGATATTTGAGAGACGACGTTAAGGTCATCTTTGTTATTTGCAATAATATGCGGCATTTTCAAAATGGGGTTTGCCTTTTTTGTACTTAAAAGAATTATATGAAAAATAAAAAAATAACCCAAAACTCTTTTTTCTTCCGATTTCTTTGTTATTTTGATACAGAAGTTACATCTTGAAAAGCTATGAAGTACTGCTATAGCTATGAAGCAAATAAAGACGATCGAATTGGGTCGTCTCTCAACGTCATGTTTTTATAAACTAAATTATTTTCATTTTTTAAAACATTTTTCTGTTTTTAGGCGACTCAAAATGGCAAATAGATGCGAATTTACTGACCCAGGTTGAAAAGCGTTCTGTTGGAGCTAGAAGTTATCTAGCTACAAAGCAGTTTTCCAGCTATCTATGATCTAGTCACATACTTATAAATAATTTATTGTATTTATTTTATTTATCGTCTACTCAAACTAAATAAATATTTTTATTAATAATAATATAGCGTTTATTGAACGGGGTGGATTTAACATTCAACATGTTGAAAATAATAAAACTTTTGCTAAAATTCCTAACTATATTGCATAAAACACAACATAGTTTCAAAACTTTAAGATCTAATTTCTCAAATGTGGTTTGAGCTGCCTTTTCTTATATGTTTAACACTACTGGTTGCAAACTGGCAATTGTTTATTCACAAAATACACTAGCAGCACTAGCACCTTCTAGCGTCATTATTTGAAACTACGGCGTGGCTAACCGGCGCCATTTTGTTTCAAATTCTGGAACGAGTTGTACCGCCAGTTATCTAACCATTGACTACACCTCAACTAATCACTTAATCAATCATCACCTGGAATAAAAAACATTTTAGAAACAAAAAGTTTTAAAAAATTGTATTTGTTTGTTCTACCTCGAAATGTGCCAGCCCTCTTCTCTCCATGGAATCGTGCACGATGTTCTGGGCATAAGCTTTGCACTCAATAGCAATCATGACACCTTCTGCAAAAGCAAGTGGCGATAATAAATTTGAAATTTCAAATTTCAAATTTCAATGAAAATTTTGTAAAAATAATTTGTCAGCATTTAGTTGGTAAATAGGCCTACAACTGAAGAATTTTTGCATTTTTAAAGAGGGATTTTTGTATTTTTTGTATCGGTAAAAACACTTACTCTTTGGGTTCGTGAGTTGGATAAAGATAGCAGGGCTCAGATATCCTCCCTGATTCCGATACGGGAAGTAGTTTGCCGATACTCCCTGATTAATTTAAAATAAATCATAGATTTAACCCAAAAAATAGAATTTTTGTAATTGCTCAGAAAAAAAAAGTTTTCGTAAATGATTTGGAAAAACATATAATTTTTGTAAATGCGAGGAAATAATATAATTTTTGTAAATGCGCGGGAAAAATTTATTTTTTTGTAAATGCACGAAAGTTTTACCTGATCAGGATAGTATATCAGTTCCCCAGCATTCTCTACATCTGCAGGATTCTCACCTTTGCACTCAATCCACACCTTGTTGTTCTAAACAAGAATAATAATTAGAATTTAGTAAAATGATAAATTCTATGTAATCTTTAATCTATTTTATAATCTAGTTTAAAGTTCTTAACAGCTGCTGCTTGGGGGGAAATAAATATGGCGGATTTCTTCAAAATGGCGGCGCCCATCCTTGAAAGAGGGAATAGTTTCCGAAAGAATATCTATGCATTTTTCATGGAAAGAATGGAATATGAAACCACGAAACCCTTATTTAACTGTCTGCACTCTGTAAAACAATAATTCTTATAAAAAAGGAAATTTTAATAAATAATTTGCCATAAATTTTAATGCACAATTACGGGTCAAAGGATTTTGCGCAACAAGGGGGAAAATAATAATTACCAAGGCGTCCTTATCGTTCTTAACATTTTCCTCCATAGCCTTCTTGATGCTGGCGGGGAATTTCTCTGGCAGATTGTTTTTACTGAAATTATCATTATTATTATTATCATTTAATTTTTGTTATCATTATAATTATATTAATTACAAAAATGTTTTGATCTATTAAGGTTTAAGATTGTTTCCAAAAGAATTCTATTTAATTGAATAAAAGTTGGAGTCCCTGTAGGATTATATTATACTGCAGTATTCTGCTTTAAAACAGAAACTTTATTTTTAGCTCAAACTACAAAATATTTATATTTAATAACACTAGCCTTAGAGGGCGCTTCGCGCCCATCTTCTAAATATATTGTGAAACATGTTCTCTTTGTGTACATCGTAAAACAAAACAAAAATAATTCGCGGATTTTCACAAAAAATTTCGTGGATTTTCAAAATTTTAAAAAATTTAATGAAGATCGAATTTTGATGGAGACAAATATTTAAAATTTTGATCATTCATAAACCTTCCCTGGGGTCCCTAGATGTCCCACAAAAAATTTGGGCCGATTGGTTCAGCCGTTTTGACGTTTATTGGATACAAACAAACAAACAGACAAGTCAAATTTATATATAGATTTCAGGGGATAGAAATATGGTTTTATAATTGATGAAGTTAAAATAAAAAATGTTTAACGCTTATACAAATAGACAACTAGACACTTGACAAGTTGACAACTAGACAACTAGACTACCAGACAACTAGACAACTTGAAAACTAGACAACTAGACAACTAGACAAGTAGACAACTAGACAACATAGACAAGTAGAAAACTAGACAACTTGACAACTAAACAATAAGACCGGTTGACACAAGACATCTTATTATCTACAAAGAATTTTAGAGAAGTATCTCCTTGTTTTACATGTATTATGTACACAAATTGTACTCAAAAATACTATTTTTTGCTCTCCGGAAAAAAATACAATATATTTTGTCAAATTAAGTTTTCTTTTCTGACGTCACAGTAAAACTTCGAATTGTAAAATAAATCAAAAACTTTTAATTTAAAAGAGCAAATTAAACTTTTAACACAGATTGTTTGAAGAACAAAGCTTTGAAACTACATTACAACTGTACAATACAATTGAACTCCTAGTGCAAACTATAGTGTACAATACAATTGACCTCCTAGTACATACTATAGTGTTCAATACAATTGACCTCCTGGTATATACTATAGTGTACAAGACAATTGACCTCCTAGTACATACTATAATGTACAATACAATTGACCTCCTAGTACAAACTATGGTGCACAATACAATTAACCTCCTGGTGCATACTATAGTGTTCAATACAATTGACCTCCTAGTACATACTATAGTGTACAATACAATTAACCTCCTGGTACATACTATAGTGTACAATACAATTGACCTCCTAGTACATACTATAGTGTTCAATACAATTGACCTCCTGGTATATACTATAGTGTACAATACAATTGACCTCCTAGTACATACTAAAGTGTACATTACAATTGACCTTCTAGTACATACTATAGTGTACAATACTATTAACCTCCGAGTACATACTATTGTATACAAAAAAATTAACCTTCTAGTACATACTAAAGTGTACAATACAAATGACCTTCTAGTACATGGTATACTGTACAATACAATTGACCTCTATTAAGATTCATTAAACTCTACTTATAATCTCTAATCTCTATCAGATTAATCTCCTGTAAAGACTTAAGGAAAATGTTTAAGAGGGATTAAATATATTTATAATGTTCATATACAGGGTTACCCAAAAAGGATGAGACTGCAAAGACGACCGGAAACTCTTAAAATGCTACGATCCCAAGGTTAACCTATGTATTCTACTTGAGATATAGTAATCTAATAGTAGTCTCTGAAGTCTCATCCTTTGTGGGTAACCCTGTATAGTATAAAAACCAGAGTTAGTCAACACACCCTATGTAAAGAATAAAAGTTATGGAAATGGCCCTGACCCGACTTATGACAACTAGTGTCCACATGTTGTCCAGCCTGTTTCCTTCCATTTTTAAGTTCAATATTAATTGATTATAATTAATATTTTTGTCAAATCATATATTACATCATCGAAAGAATAAGTTTCAATGCGTTTTATGTCTACATAAAAGTCTCAACATTTGTACATCTAAGTACACTGACACAGACACAATACAGACAAACAAACATAACGGTATGGGTCTGCTTCTTACCTGACGTTATAGATCTCTGGCACCCAGCCATATATCTTGTTTAGTTTAATGAGAATACAAGGCTGACCATTCTTATATCCATAATGGTTTTCAGCTGTACAGTCACCTTGGAACAGTTCTTCTCTAGAAGGATAAACACTCAGAAAAGGATTAAAAAAAAGAACATTCAGAAAAAAAGATGACTAAAAGGACAGCCATTGCAATTGCATGTCTGATGATGCATGTCCCCCCCCCCCTCCCGCCTCGTCTAAAATATTGCAACCTCCCGTGATTAAACTATTCCAGAGCAGTTTAAATTAGAATAAGTTACCCCAAACTTGATTATTCCACTGAAGTAAAAGCTAATTGTGACAAAAGTGAGCAAAAAAATTGAAAGCTTAGGTATAGAAGAAAATAAATTGAAAATAACTGAAAAATTGAGAAATAAATTTGAAAAATTGAGGTCAGATTGGAAATATTCAATAGCTATTTATAAAAGTGTTATTTTGGTTCGCAGTGTTATAATGTTTTTGGACAGAAATTTTCTCTTTATCGAGAAGGTTAAATTCTTTTTAGATTGAATTTTGTCCCGAGCTTTAGCGAGGGACAAAATATAATCAAAAAGGCGAGAGAGAACCTTTGAGATATAGAAAAAATTTAAGTCCAAAAACTTTATAGCACGTCGTGCCAAAATAATACTGTTATAGTTAATTTCATGAAAGGTGTGTGTACTTGTCTTATTTCAATGGCTGTTTCTAGATAAAATAAGCTTTAAAACAAAGCAAAAGTCAAAATATAAGGTTGATTTCAATTTTATTTTCATTTCATTTGAAAAAAATATTTTGGTAATAGCCTAGATTTTTTGGAGAAAATCCGGGAACCAATCAAAACTTATTAGCACACGTGCTATAATGTACAGTTAATTTAATATTATAGCACGATGATTACTTTATAGCAAGTTCATTATGAAATTCACGATGAAGTAAGTTTCATAAAAGATACAATGATTTTTTATCTATGGTTTGATAGATTTATAAGATTGCACAATTTTTTTTTTCTAGAAAGTAATGGATGTAAATGAGAACTGGAATGAACCATCAAGCATTTTTCATTTGAGTTTGCTTTATTTTTGGGTGTTCAGCTTTAGTAGGGTTGGTATTGGTATTAGAGCATGGATTCATACAATGATTGGTATTTATTATTAAAATTGGTTTTGAAATCATTTCAGGGCTGTTTTCTTAGAAAAGTTGTTACAATCAAATGCATAAGTATTTAAATGATTGATTGGGTAATATTAGATTTGGAAGACGATATAATTCAAAAATCTAAAATGAGTGTTATTCCTGTTAATCTTGCATATCTGGTTATTTCCGGGTGGCCTTGAAGCCAGTTCTCCGCACTCTACTCTATCCACCATGTCGCTGGTTACTGTGTCGTTCTTATAATCCTAAATAATAACAAGTAAGGCACAGTTTGAAACCCATTTTACAAAAAGTAAAAAATTAAAAATTCAGAACAAATTAAATCAGATAAAATATTTCAAAGTTTATTCTTGAGTCTCTAGCATTCAAAGTTAGACTCGACTTGATGAGTTTTGATAAAGTGATTTACTGGTTTAATATTAGGACTCAACTCGTAGTAAAATACGTCCCAACACATCTCAGGACTTTATTTCAGTTTTAATGGCAGATTAGTCTTGAGACTATATTTTCCAAATTATTTCTCTATACTGCTGCATTCTCAGTATAACTATCATGTACTATCCAACCCTAATCATGAAATGTTTATACATTAAGCATATATCATAAGATATTAGTTAAGCAGAGGCCTTGAGTACCTAATATAAATGGATTCCAGAATATTATTTTCATTTTCTCTTTCAACCTTTCCCAAACCCCGTCTAGCATTTATTCTCTTTGATTCTAGTTTCAAAATAATTAAACTTGAGAGTAGGGTATGAGAGAGAGCAAAAAAGTTTAGCTAAAAGCTTAGATCAGGAGTTTCTTGAATATCATGAATTTTTGCTTTCATAAAATAATTAGAAAGAATTTTGTTCAGATTTTAGAAATATCAATAAAGAACTTGATTCAGGATTCAGAAATATCAATAAAGAACTTGATTCAGGATTCAGAAATATCAATAAAGGACTTGATTCAGGATTCAGAAATATCAATAAAGAACTTGATTCAGGATTCAGAATTATATAAAGAACTTGATTCAGATTTCAGAAATATCAATAAATAACTTGCATGATTCAGATTTCAAAATATCAATAAAAAACTTGATTCAGATTTTAGAAATGTCAATAAAGAACTTGATTCAGATTTCAGAAATGTCAATAAAGAACTTGATTCAGATATTAGAAATGTTATTGACCATTGTTATTTTTTAGAAATTTATCGTTAGGTAAATAATATTCTACAATTTTTTACATTTAAATATTTAGCTGATTTTGAGCTTAATTGTAACAGATTTTTTAAGAACATTAAAGTTAATAAATACTAATTTGAACTTGTGAAATATAAAAAATGACAAGAAGAACAAGAGAAGTAATGACAAGAAGAAAAAGAAAAGTAATGACAAGAAGAACAGTAGAAGAAATGACAAGAATAACAAAAAAAGTAATGACAAGAAGAACAAGAGAAGTAATGACAAGAAGAACAAGAGAAGTAATGAAAAGAAGAACAAGAGAAGTAATGACAAGAAGAACAAGAAAAGTAATGACAAGAATAGCAAGAAAAGTAATGACAAGAAGAACAAGAGAAGTAACAACAAGAATAACCAAAATCTATATTATACCTTGAGAAATTTTTCTAATCTCTCGACCCATGGTTCCCAGTTTCCATTATCTTCTCCGTGTCTGAACCAGACCAGGGTAGATTCAATATCATTGGTGTGCGGCATGGGCCTGAACCCGACCCCTAGATAATTAAGGTTTAACAGACAGTCAATACATGGCTTTGGGAAAACATAAAAAAGGGCTGGATAAAAATTATAGGGAAAAAGAAGATTAGTTATAATTAGTTTAATGAACATAAAACGTAGCCATTGTGCAGTTTTATAGGTTGATTTCCTTTATAACAATACAAATACAATCTACAGATAGACTGCTTAAATGTCGTCTTCCTATTTCACAGTTTTATAGTTCCCATTATGCGTCTGAAAGAGGTTTACTAACCTGGATTTGATCCAATGATTCCGTTTGAATTTAACCATCTTGGTTCCTTCATATCTAAAGTCTGATAAAAGATCCAGAGCATTCCCATGAAAAACCCGGCGAGGAAGGCGTAGTATATAATATAGAAGACACCAATCTTAACTAGAAAAAAAAATTATTTTCTACGATTTGTTAAAAATATTTTTGAGATAGTCACAACTCACAGTGTGACACTATCCAGAACTGTTAAAACTGTTTTTGGTGTATAAAAATAGAAATAGAAGTGGATGCCATTTTGGAAATTCAGTTAACAGTCACTTTATTGTAATTTTTTGGGAAGTATTTTTTTGAAATTTCAGGCTTTTCCAAATCTTTAGAAATCTAAAAGTGGCCTAAAGCCGTCACAATTTGTATTTATTAATATTGCGGTCAAAAATATTGATAATATTCAAGGGTGGCTCAGGTGAGGCGCCCTCCCCCCCTGTCCCCCTGAAACCAACCCTGAAAGGAATAATCCGAACTGATATCTTGTACTTTAGAGTATTGATTTTCAGCTCTATTCCCTGGAAACATTAAAAACTTTTTTTTAGAAGAATTTAATAAATTTATCACTTTAAATATATAAAATTAATTTTACAAATCACATATTTTAAGGTTTTAAGAGCTGACACTATAAAAGAGAGGAGGGGAGAGGGGGGGTTGAGAGGGATTAAAAAACTTACGCCAGCTCATTCCGGTTCTGCCCAAGAACTCGCTGGTCTCTGAATTCCAGAGAAACGTGGTGAACCCCTCCCATCCTGTCTTCTCCACGGGTTTCGTTGCAAACTTATATTCAGTCTGTTCAACCTTCTTGTCCTTGCCGTCTCCCCCCGCCATGGTTGTGATCTTGGTGCAGATGTAGGGCGCACTGGAGGAGGCTCCCCTTCGGATATGAAGTATTAGAAATCTTGGCCAGATTATTTTATAATATAATTAATTAATAAGCTTAATTATTGTTATATTGTTTTATAGTATGATAAAAACTATGATTTTATATTTTAGAAATATAATAATTTGTCCCGTGTTTGTCAGATCAAATTCCTTCCGGTTTAGGGCTTCCTGTATAAATTGTACATTATAGATTTATTCGGATGGATTGGATGGATTGGATGGATTGGTTGGATTGGATGGATTGGTTGGTTTGGATATGATGGATTGGATGAATTGGATGGATTGGTTGGATTGGATGGATTGGTTGGGTTGGATATGATGGATTGGATGGATTGGATGAATTGGATGGATTGGATTGGTTAGTTGAATTGGATGGATTGGATGGATTGGTTGCATGGTATAACTTTCCTTTAAGTTTCCTGGAAAACAAAATTGATTTCTATAGATTGGAATCCACTCTAACTCACCAACACGTGTATTCTGTACAGTTTGCACGTGTATTCTGTACAGTTTGCACGGGTATTCTGTACAGTTTACACGTGTATTCTGTACAGCTTACACGTGTATTCTGTACAGTTTACACGTGTATTCTGTACAGTTTACACGTGTATTATGTACAGTTTAAATGTGTATTCAGTACAGTTTACACGTGTATTCTGTACAGCTTACACGTGTATTCTGTACAGTTTACACGTGTATTCTGTACAGCTTACACGTGTATTCTGTACAGTTTACACGTGTTCACTGTACACTGTACTCTGTATAGACACTGTACACTGTACTGGGTTTGAGATTTCTGGGACTTTTTTCAAAATAATTTTTGATTGTTGTTTGTCAGATTATGTGTAGTTTTGCTTTGTCACAATTTGGATTGCTTTGTCACAATTTGGTTTGTTTTGAGAATAACTTGGTTTGTTTGTCACAATTTGTGTTTTTAATTTATTTGGTTTATTAGTTTGTAATTTTTACAATTTGGTTTGTTTTATTATAGATTGATTTTTTGTCATAATTTGGTTTGTTTTGTCAAAATATGGTTTGTTTTGTCATAATTTGGTTTGGTTTGCCATAATTTGGTTTGTTTTGCCATAATTTGGTTTGTTTTGTCATAATTTGGTTTGTTTTGTCATAATTTGGTTTGTTTTGTCATAATTTGGTTTGTTTTGTCATAATTTGGTTTGTTTTGTCATAATTTGGTTTGTTTTGTCATAATTTGGTTTGTTTTGTCATAATTTGGTTTGTTTTGTCATAATTTGGTTTGTTTTGTCATAATTTGGTTTGTTTTGTCATAATTTGGTTTGTTTTGTCATAATTTGGTTTGTTTTGTCATAATATGGTTTGTTTTGTCATAATTTGGTTTGTTTTGTCATAATTTGGTTTGTTTTGTTATAATTTGGTTTGTTTTGCCTTATTTTGGTTTGTTTTATCATAATATTGTTTTTTTTGTCATAATTTGGTTTGTTTTGCCATAATTTGGTTTGTTTTGTTATAATTTGGTTGTTTTTGTCATAATATGGTTTGTTTTGCCATAATTTGGTTTGTTTTGTTATAATTTGGTTGTTTTTGTCATAATATGGTTTGTTTTGCCATAATTTGGTTTGTTTTGTTATAATTTGGTTGTTTTTGTCATAATATGGTTTGTTTTGCCATAATTTGGTTTGTTTTGTTATAATTTGGTTGTTTTTGTCATAATATGGTTTGTTTTGCCATAATTTGGTTTGTTTTGTTATAATTTGGTTGTTTTTGTCATAATATGGTTTGTTTTCTCATAATTTGGTTTGTTTTATCATATTATGGTTTGTTTTGCCATAATTTGGTTTGTTTTATCATAATATGGTTTATTTTGCCATAATTTTGTTTGTTTTGCCATACTTTGGTTTGTTTTATCATAATTTGGTTTGTTTTGCCATAATTTGGTTTGTTTTGTCATAATTTGGTTTGTTTTGTCATAATATGGTTTGTTTTGCCATAATTTGGTTTGTTTTATCATAATATGGTTTGTTTTTTCATAATTTGGTTTGTTTTGCCATAATTTGGTTTGTTTTCTCATAATTTGGTTTGTTTTGCCATAATATGGTTTGTTTTGTCATAATATGGTTTGTTTTGTCATAATATGGTTTGTTTTGTCAAAGTTTGATATGTTTCGTCATGGTTAAATTGTGTCGTAAAATTGTTTCCAGTGACGTCAAATCCTTGCCTAAACTTTTCTGTAGAGCTTAACAAGAAACTTTTTAAACAACAGATTCAGATTCGTTCTGATAATACAGTTTTAGCAAAACACAGAATACAGAATACAGAATGGAGAATACAGAAAACAGAAAGCAGAATACAGAATTAAAAATACAGAAAACAGAAAACAGAAAACAGAAAGCAGAAAGCAGAAAACAGAAAACAGAAAACAGAAAACAGAAAACAGAAAACAATATTGACTGATGAGGATCGAGAGATCTGAAACAATTTGTATTAATAAATATGAAAACTGAGAAGCTGTTCTGATTATTGCTTTATAGTTATATATATCTTTTAGATATATATATCTTATAAGTCATTTAAGGAAATGATCTTTATATATTTTCAACCCTGCGTTATAAATAAGTGCATAAACTACATGAAAAACTATAACTTATAGTAATATTTAACCAAACATTAGATATTGTATCTTTTTGCCAGCTTGAAATATTTGGATTTTAGACCTTTTAAACGAACAGTGAACGTTATTTCAAGATTCCCTTCATCAGGTCTGGACATCTTTGCATTGCAATTATTTGTTAAGTCACTAGGCCTAGCTGAGGTCCCTGATGTACAGGAAGATCTTTAAAAAGCAGCCAAAGAAAAATTAAATAACAATAATTTGTTTTCATTTACATGGAAGTTCAGAAGTTTTACAACTTGTAAAATTTTCTTTGTTTTAAAATAAAAAATTTTCAGGGTGATATTTTCAAAAATTTAAAAATTTAAAGAGAATATCAGAATAGCAGAAGAATTTGTGGATATTTAAATTTACAAAAACGCAAAAATGTGCTTCACCTTCAGAAAGTGAAACAAAAGTTATTTACTAACATTTTGTACATTGTAAATGCATAGTTTTCTGCCATAAAAATGATACATACGATTAATCTACTGATCAAAATTTATTTGAAATGGACTTATTTAAAACAAAACTTTTAAAAATTTTTCGAACGAACTTAAAAAAGGTTATCGTTTTTCTTACTGAAAGGAATAATTTTCCAAAAGATTTTGGAAACAGTTTCTTTTACTAAAAGAACGATTTTTTTTTCAATCAAGCTTTTAAAAAAAACGATTTTATCGAACGAACGATATTACTGAACAATTTTACTAAACGATCGTTCAGTGAGAAAATGAATGAAATAAATTGTAAATGAACCATAATTTTAGAGAACAAACGGAATAAATTTGTTAACGATTGAAAAAAATACAAACGAACGAACGATGAACGAACGGCATGAAATAAAGATGAACGAGCCGATCACCAATCACAATATCTAACTCTCTATTCTAATAATATTTTAAGAGTTTCTGTGCTTGAAATAAGTTCTTGCTCCTGGTTTAAAACATCATCTATATCAATAGAAAATACATCTTCATACTCTTCTTCTACTGCTGTCTCCTTATAATAAAAACAAGAGTTAATGTTGCAAATATGAATGCTAGAATATTACATGTTGCAAATATGAATGCTAGAAATATTACATGTTGCAAATATGAATGCTAGAATATTACATGTTGCAAATATGAATGCTAGACCTGATGTTGCTAGGTGTAGAATACCTGATGTTGCAAGGTGTAGAATACCTGATGTTGCTAGGTGCAGTATACCTGATGTTGCTAGGTGTAGAAGCAATCAAAAACTTTAACCTTTTTCTTCCGAAACCACCTTAATAATAAAATCTATATCTTTGTAGTAAATGCCGTACTCTTAAACAGGCTGGGGAGGGGAGGTTTACTCTTATGGAAAAGTAATTTAAAGAATTTTTTGCCAAAAAAAATGTGCTGAGGGGCGGGTATAAAAAACGGTGAAAAAATCACTTTTTCTAAGCTTCAAATTTAAAAAATACATGTGTGAAAAGCTCTTAAAATGTATGTAATATCATGTGTCACATATTAAAATTTATCAAAAACAAAAAATTTATTTTTTACCTTTTTTCGAAATTTTTTACATGATTCATATGACATTGCTCCACGCTATGCTAGTTGTAAAAGTTTATCGAGGGGGGGGGGTACTTTAGTTTTAGACAAGGGGAATTCGGTTGGGGAGAGAATATAATCCCCCCCCCCTTACTATTCTTCAACTAATCAATAGGAGCAAAGTAAGTTAGTCGCATCAAAAAGGAAAGCTGGTCATTAATAATTCATTCAGGTATTTATCGTCAACAATTTTAATGTAGAATTTTTTTCGCTTGCGAATCAATTATAGGTGGTTTATAAAGAAAATTTACTGGATAACAACAAAAATAAGCTTTTATTTGTATTTTTAATAACCTATTATTATAGATGATTTGGAAATTAATAAAGTAAAGTATGCTCTATGTTTAAAAAGATTTGAAATATAAGTCTAATGATAAACTTTTAACATCCAAAGACTGATGTTGATTTACTTGCAAAAAATGTTCAAAATGGCTATTTAAAAGCAGAGGTAAAAATTCCAGAAAACATCATTTATTTTTAAGGAATTACATCCTTTTAAAAACAAAAAAACACATTTTGCTTTGGCTAAATCATGAAAAAGATGATTTACTGAAAGGAATTGAATATTTGTAACAAACTCAAATTTTCTAATTCCTATATCATTGCAGGCTGATGGTGTAAATCTTTGATAATTCAAACTTAGATTGATTAATCTAATAGAATTCATAGTTTGAAATATCTAAGGTCTACGTCATTCGGTTAGAAAGATATAGAAGTTAGAAAATCAGAGTTTGTAGCAGCAAAGAGTCTATTCCTTTTTCAGTACTTTTATGAAATATAATGTAACCTCCACCCCCTACCTCACCCTAAGAAGTTGGGTAGACCCCCCTCCTCCGCCTTATCTAGATACTCTAGCTTTCCAAACACGATATGGATGTGATTATAAGACAGGATCACAGGATATAAAAGGAGACCCAATAAAGAATAAGTTTAGTTGTGCACCAGCTCTCACAAGGAGAGAATGAAGACTTTTGCCAACTCCCCACAGTGGAAGGATGGACAACCTAAGAAGCAGTAAGTCCAAAGGAATGGAAACTGCTTGGTTGGATCGGACCTGTGGGAAAACAACATGTTGCTGCAGGAGATATATTTCCGGAGGAGATATGTTACTGGAGGGGATATGTTACCAGAGGGGATAAATAAAGAAGATATCTAGCCAAAGGAGGTATCTAGCCAAAGGAGGTATCCAGCTAAAAAGAGGAAAACCTTTAGTTTAGTTGAGTTTAGTTTAGTATTTGTTTCACTTTCAATATAAATGTTCAACTATTTTGTTCTTTTATTGGTTCGTGACTTGATGCCTACTAGAATATTGATCCCCCCTTTTTGGGGGGTTCCTTTCGTATTTAACAATTCTACAATAATTTTAGTTGAGTTTCCATTCTTAGTTTGAAGAAAGTCGATACCAACTCCACCTTTCGTAAACTTTATTAATTACTTTTATTACATTTTGTCTTTTTATATAAAAATTATTTTTATATAAAAATTATTAACGTATAAAAGCATAATATTTCTTTAAAAATAGATAAATAAAGTTTAGGACTGAGATCCATTTCATTTAAATTTAAGTAAGTAAGTTAGTAAATTTGGATCCAAATCCAGGTTATGAATATTTCATTAAGATTAATTAATTTTTTATCTAATAAAGAGTTTTCAAATTAAGTTTCTTCTTTTGTTTCGCTTATTTAAATGCCAAAACTCAAAAAAGCCATTCAGAGGTAAAAAAAAACTTAAAATCTCCCATTTTTTAAAAGTTAAGATTTCTGATTCAAGACCCAAAAGTTTTATAGCAGATTTTGGTTGTTTTTTTTGCCCCTTGGATCATGATCCGCAGATCCGCATGTTTTTGCGGATCAGGATCCTGCAGGAAGCCAAAATGATCCAACGGGTATAAGAGATATTGTTTCTTTAATCAGCATTTATATGTATACAACTAGATGAAGTGACTGGAGTTGCCCGTGGAATGAAAAGAATGAAAAAAATGAAGAAAAAAATTAGATTTAAAAAAATTAGATTTTTAAAAAAGAAATCGAATTTTGAGAAATATAAATTTTAGAACTTTTTTAGCCTATAATAACCCAGGGTACACATGGGTTCCCTAAAAAAAATTCAGCCATTCGGTCCTACTGTTTGGCATGCTATAGGGAACATATACGAATGTCTTGTTTTATTGTTAAGATATATTCTAATTATAAACAAAGGTTCTTGTTATATCACGAAAGTCCTGAATAATATATGAACAACTATACAGATAAATATCAAAACAAATAAATCGAATACTTTGATGATTCGAATCATTTTTGACAAAGATAAAGCAATAAATGAATTACAAAAATTGAATAAAATTGCACGATATTTTTCAACAAAATTTATCAAATGATTTAAATTTTATCCTTTAAAATCCAAGAAGGCAAATTCGAGTTAAAAACAAGTCAAACTAAAGTAAATTGCACGGAACAATGAAATTATGGATGTTTTTAATCATAACTTTTCTATTGAAGAGTTATTGAAAAGAATTTAATCAAAGCAATTATTTTTCACCCGTAGCTTATCAGCTTTGATCTATTTTGATTATTTTGATGGGACTACGGCCGAAGTACAAAATGGCTGCTATACATAATACACGCTTTGTAAGATTTGATTCACTGTACAGTGTACACTTGTCAACAATGTACTCTCTAAGTTCTAACCTGGCAGGGGTTATCCTAGATGCTGGATCTGCATCCAGTATTCCAGCCAGCTTACAGGTCAACAGTACACCAACAACACTGCAGAGTAGAATGTCATGTCTCAGTAAATAGATGTTTGCATTATAATTTTTTAAAAACCGGTTTGAACATATTCTGTATTTTAGAGATATACATGTGACATCAGCTGTGTTGAGTTCATGTTGTAAGCTAGCGTACACTTCCGTTTTACGCCAATTTGGCGGTATTTGGTCTCTATGATTAGTCAAAGGGTTAAAGACGAATATACTGTTGGTAAATTGGCGCGAACAAAAAAATATATTCAAATCATTTCCTGATAAATATTACACAGCTTGTTCCGTACATCAGCATAGCCGGTATATTTACAACTGTTTTCATTGTCTTCTGGAATATTACAATAAACCAACTAATAGTTGTGTTAGATCTATTGAACACTGGATACACTTGACGATTTTTATATCAATCTGATCGGCTACCATGTTTCCTCAATTTTTTAGGATGTATTATATCTCGCTTCTGATTCGATGAAGAAAGCAACTCTCTAAAGTGAGATCATTTTGATATTTTAAAGTCATTTATTGGGTGCAGTACTGTACAATCTACATTACAGAGTGCTCAGTACAATATAAAACAGAGCAGTGTGTAACGAATCTATGTAAGAAAGTCCCGAGGAAAAAAGTTTCTGCGTCTCACAAACCCGGAAAAAAAACTTTGGAAAAAATCCTTGGGAAAAATGTCACTGTAAATAAAGTCCTATGTTTTATCTTCCTGGTACTTTTTTCTCAAGTCTCAGGAAATAAGAAAATATGTCCGTGAAAAAGAAAAACCTAGAAAAAAGTCCCTAAATCTTTGGAAATTCAAACTCTGTAATTTAAGTCTGCAGAAAAAAAGTCCTAAGAAAGGTTGTGTATATAATAGGGATGTACAAGGGTACTATGTAGATTGCATGTAGAAGTGCTAGTTTCATATTCCTTAAATAAAACGCAAAGGGAAATGCTAACTTCACTTGATGTGATAAATATATGCATATATAGCCATGCATTTTCACTTGTTAGAGGACTGTTTTCCGAGGACGTTTTTGTATAAAATCATATTGGGACCAGATAAAAGTCCTAGAAAATAAAGTCTCCAACTGGTTGGATTTTATTTCCGGAGACTTTTCAATTAAAGGACTTTTTTCCACATGACTTTTATAGTGCGAAAATTTAAGACTTTTTAGCAAAAACATTTTTGGTGGTTACAGTTTTGGAACAGCTGACATAAATTTCTCTGGAAGGGGATCATTAATTTGGCGTACGCAGTCTATCATTATACTGCAAAGCTTGCTCTATAGATGGTAAAAATTCGGCCCAGTTGAAATAAACCGGAGTAAGCTAAATATAGTATACTATGTAAACAGTTTCTCTACATGACAATTAACCGTTTACAGTGTACAGAACCGTGTAAAGTACACTGTACAGTACCGTGTACAATACACTTTACGAACCGTGTACAGTACACTGTACAGAACCGTGTACAGTACAGTGTAAAGAACCGTGTACAGTACACTGTGCAGTGCCGTGTAAAGTACACTGTACAGTACTGTGTTAAGTACACAGTGCAGTACCTTGTAAAGTACAATGTGCAGTACGGTGTAAAGTACACTGTGCAGTACCATGTAAAGTACACTGTGCAGTACCGTGTAAAGTACACTATACAGAACCGTGTACAGTACCGTGTAAAGTACACTGTACAGTACCGTTTAAAGCACACTGTGCAGTACCGTTTAAAGTACACTGTACAGTACCGTGTAAAGTACACTATACAGTACCGTGTAAAGTACATTGTACAGTACCGTGTAAAGCACACTGTGCAGTACCGTGTAAACTGTACACTATACACTGTAAAACACCGTGTACAGTACAATATACTGTACAATGTACAGCGCACAGTGCAATGTTTAGTCCACTTCTGCGGAATGGTCCACAGATAATGAACAGTATGTTCAAAAGAACCTTTTCATCTATCTATCCATCTATCTATCTATCCATCTATTTGTCAAACTATATAACTAGGACATTGTCAAGTTGCCAGGTATAATTAACCCAGCAGAGACAGAAAAACTGGTCTTCTGGACTTAGATAGATAGATACAAGAAATAGATGTAATTAGATAGATAGATACAAGAAATAGATGTAATTAGATAGATAGATACAAGAAATAGATGTAATTAGATAGATAGATAGATAGATAGATAGATAGATAGATAGATATATAGATAGATAGATAGATGGATAGATAAATAGATCGATGGATAGATATAGAAAAAGATGTAATCTGTCTGTCTGGTTTTTTGTCTGTTTAAATCCAATAATCGTCAAAACGGAAAAGCCGATCCGGTCAAATTTTTGTGGGACCTCACTTGACCCCAGAGAATGTTTATGGATGCTCATACAAAAAGTTCTTTAACAAATTTTGGATTTGCGCAAAATTTTTAAAATCCACAAACAAAATTGTAAATCAGCAAAAAAATGATTATTATGGTTTTATCAATGCTGAAAATGAATTAGAAAGATAGATCTAAGAAATGAATGTACAGAGAGAGATGTATGATATATGTTTAGAAGAACATGAATTAGAAAGATAAATCTAGGAAATGAATGTACAAAGAGAGATGTATGATAAATGTGTAAAAGAACATGAATTAGAAAGATAGATCTAGGAATTAATGTACAAAGATGTATGATATATGTTTAGAAGAACATGAATTAGAAAGATAAATGTTGGAAACATATCTTGAGAGCTCAATAAATAGAATTATATTTCTAGAAAGATAGATGTAGAAGATATTAATGCTATAATTTAATTTAAGCAGTGGTAGTCTTATATATCAATACAATCAGGACGACTTTCGATTTTTAATTTTGAATTCTACCTAGCTTTCAAACAGCAAGGATAAACATAAACATAAACTGTCAACTAACAGCTTCTTTATGTTTGCTTGTAAACTTGTAATTTGAAAAAAGCTTGTTATGAAACAAAGGAACAAAAGAACAGGAGAACAGAAGAACAAAAGAACGGAAGAAAAGTCGTTTTCATTGTACTGATGTAAACGCTAACGATGATTTAAAGTGCAACTGTGAGAGTAATGTGACTCTAATTAAATACTTCTAATAAAGCTAACATCAAGGAATTTTAATTACCATTTATATCCAGTATAATACAGAACACAATTCAGTATTTTTTATTAGTATATGTTTGAATTAATCATCATATTATAATTAAACAAATAATGTGTGGATAAATGATTTATGATATCAGAGAATTTGATTCAGGATTGTAATGCCCAACATCTTCATCTCCTCGTTGAGCTTATTCAGAACAAGATCTAATGCTTCCTTGGTATATCTATCTCTGAAGTCCTGAGGGCGGTAACACCATTCCTTTGATACCTTCCTTGGATTAGTCTTAACTTCAAAACAGATCTCCTTTGGAACTTGGACACAGTTGGGTTTCTCAACTAAACGTGGAACTATAGAACTGTCTCGACATTTAGTTGAGAAACCCAACTGTGGCCAGGTCACAATCCTTGCTTGGAATATTCTGAACAAGACTTCTTGTTTCCTCTCGTCAGGTCTTCTCACTCTTGACAAATACACAGTTGGATATTGCACAAACTTCTCTGGGTGATTCTGACATGAAGTTTCAGAGTTGGTTTTTGTTACAGTTTTCTTCAGTCCTAATATATCCTTAAAGTTTCTTCCCTGGCGATCAGAAGAACTAGATAATGATGGCATTGAATGCCTCCTGAAGATATCAGATGGTTGAGCTTCTATTGCTGAAGACATACAGATCAGAACTAAAACTAATTGTCGGATTCATCTTCTATTTATCTATATATAAATTTGGATTGTCTGTCTGTTTGTATTCAATAAACGTCAAAACAGCTAAACCGATCGGGCCCAAATTTTTTGTGGGACATCACGTGACACCAGGGTCGGTTTATGAATAATCAACATTTAAAAAATTTATGTTTAAAGTTTTTTATTTTTGTAAAAAATTTAATTCTTTAAAATCCGCGAATTCTTCTATAAAATCCTCAAAATTTTCCTCTTCTTTGTTTTTCAATGTTTACAATAAGAACATGTTCACATTCACAATTGAATTAGAAGATGGGCGCCCTAAAAGCATAGTTATTGCCAATTTCTGATCAAGAAACTTAATTAAAGAATATTAATTAAAGAAATAAAGAATAGGATTCCCAGATGGTTTATTCTCTTTCCCAAGTCTCTAGAAGAAAAGGCTGAGCTGAACTGAAGAATGAAGACTCCATGTCTCCCTTATAAAGGGAACCCACAGAAAGCGGAGTGTGTTTGTCAACCCGTTATATTTAAAAGAAGCTATTTAGATATGGACTGTCAGATACCTGAATAAAAGGAGTAAAAAATGAGATTAGCCTTGTCTAACTTAACAAAATTAGAATTAACATTATCATTTTGAATTATGAAGAAAAAGTTATTTGTCACAAAAATATTGGTTTCACGGATTTTTTTCATATGCCAAAAAATATCTTTTTTTCATTTTGTTATTTAAATTTTTATCTATAAATATATTATGCTGATAGGGTGCGAAGTGCCCCCTTTTAGTGCTAATTTGGCATAACTGTTCCATACATACAGAATTAATTTTGATGTGGACTCATTAAAAATTGCCCCGCGTGCGAAGGCAAGGTTTTACATGACTGGATTTTTTTTTTTATTTAACGGAGATCCTAAATATTTATGGTACAATTTTGATTAATTTTTATAAATTAAAATCTGGCCATTTTTTCATACCTTCATAAAGGAAAAAGTGTGCTTTAGTATTTTTTTTAAACTGAAAACCCCTTTTTTGTTTTCGTGAAAAACTACCGCTTGTATCAAAGACGAAACAAAAGTCGTCTTTACATAATCATGGGTTTAGAACTCCCTTGAGTTTAAACTTAGTCACAAATTCACAATCCTTATATTTGTTAGTCATAGGACAAACACAGCGTATTAGATCTTTGGTAGATTTTCTATCCACATTCTACACCAAGCATGTATTTGTAGACGGCCGAATCCGATTTTTAGGTGTCCCAATAAACATGGGAATTTAGTGACGATTGTACTTAGTAAAACAAGAAAATTGCCGTATACAAACAGAGTAAACTTGTCCGTCTTCACTGTTCATCTTGCGGAGACATTATAGGCAGTTCTTTACAGTATTTTACCCTTTTCATAAAATAAACTCTAACAGACATAATAATATTATGGCTTTTGAAATCAGGTATTACAATGCTAATTCTTAACAAAGACGATATCCAATTCGTCACTGAATTCCCATGTTTTTTGGGACACCCTGTATATAATCAGGAAAAAGTTAAAATTACTAAACAGACGAAAGCTGTTGCCAAAATGGAACCTCGCCCGATGAGGGGGGGGGTCGCAATAATCCCATC